AAATGCAAAAATTAAACCATAAATGTACTAGAAGACAAATGGAAAATTTTTCATCATGTGTGTCTCACCAGGGAGCTGGCTGAATAAATTATAGTATATCAAGTGGATAAAACAAAAATACAATGAGGAAGCATTTTATGTGCTTGTATGAAACCGTCTTCAGGATATTCTGATAAGGAAAAAGAAAAAAAGTCCTGACTGAATATATGTAGAGCAGGAGGGGAAAATACGATGACAGCAAAAGAATTTTTATGCTTGCATGTGAAAGAATAGAGGACACACACGGAGCTAGTAACGCTGCCTCCTCTGAAGAGGCGAAATGTGTGCTAGAGGGATTTCCCTGTATATTCTAAATCTTGCAGATTTTAAACTATGACTCTCTATGACCTAGGGTTAAAAATGTAATGATTCAATTAACTACTATTTTTACCTTTCCTTATGGTACTTTCATTTACAGCAAAATCTAGGCAAGAGAGGAATTCTATAGATAATTCAAAATATTTATATAATCAAGCATCAAATATGTGTATATTTTATATAAGTTTGAAAAAGGTAAGCTAAACATATTATATGTTTCAAGGTTGTAAAGTAATTGTGAGAGAATTCAAGACGCTGGTTAAAAAGGAGACAAATGAAATATCCAGAATTTGTGAGACGCTTACCTCTTTTTAACAAAATTGTATGACTACTTTGTGTTAACAATGTCAAGAGGCCTCTAGACAGAGTTGATGGCCCAGATTTAAATATTAAATGTGTTTTCTTGTTATCCAGTTTTTGAAAAGTGCAATACAGGTTTTATTCATGGTATATACATTCACACACATATACACATATACAGGTATATACACCAAGTACAACCAAAACAACATGTTTTTGTGAGATATGGGATTGCTTCCTGTATGATCATTTATAACTATATCATCTAAAGATCAATATTACAGGTTCTAGTGAAATCACTACTACATATTTTCATTACTAACTAAAAAAACAGCTTATCAATATGATGGTCAGAGTAAAAACTATAATGCAAGAAAAGTTAAAATGCATTAGAGTAAGTCTGTTTCAAAGGACCTCATTTTGCTGCAAATGAGTTTGAAAATATTATTAGAAAGATGGCTTTAGAAAGTTTCCCTGAATACTTTAAAACCATTAATACAACAGCACCAAAACATTAGAAATCCAACTAGGTAAATAGAAATATTGAAAAAGCAATGAACCAGATGTATACTATGAAGATCCTTCAAAAAGTTCATGGAAACACTATGTCCCTAAATCTGTATATATGAAATATGTGAAACTTGTATAACTTAAATAAAAATTTTTAAAAAGTTCACGGAAAATGTGTTTAATGAAAAAAACTATACATGGATTTCAAAAGATTTTTTTAAAGATTTATTTATTAATTTATTTGAAAGTCAGAGTTACACACAGAGAGAGGGGGAGGCAGAGAGAGAGAGGACTTCCCTCTGTTGGTTCACTGATCAACTGGCTGCAATGGCCAGAGATGCACCAATCCAAAGCCAGGAGTCAAGAGATTCTTCCAGGTTTCCCACATAGGTGCAGAGGCCCAAGGATTTAGGCCACCTTCTACTGTTTTTCCAGGCCATAGCAGAGAGCTGGATCAGAAGTGGAGTACCCAGGACTCAAACTGGTGCCCATATGGGATGCTGGCATTGCAGGCGGCTGCTTTACCCACTATGCCATGGCACTGGCCCCCAAAAGATAATTCCACTAAGTTTCCCAGATACTTTAATTATTTATCTTTGAAAAATAAAAAATGAATATATGCAATCCATACCATTTATAGTTATATGAAATAACTTTGAGTTACTTAAGGTTATTAAAATTATTTTCTACAATAAAATAGGATGCAAATGATTAGTACACATGTAAAACAAAAATTGAAGACAGTAGTAAACAGTAAAATTAATTTTATTTTTAGAAGCAATAGCAAGAAGCAAATTGCCTTTCACGAGTTAGTGATTTAAGTAAAAATATTGACTACAAAACAAACTGTTTCTCAAATACTAGTGGGTTCTGCAGTAGCTACTTGAGTGCTAAACCCAAGACTGAATTGGCCGTTTTGATTGTTTAAAGAGAGGATAAATATCAATTCCATCATCTTGCCATAGAATAATCACCAGCCTTTTCTTCTTTGACACAATTATTGTCTCAGAAAGCCACCTTATTTCTCAACTAGTATGTTGAACAGATTATATAGTGTCCCAATCCACAAGAACGCCCTCATTGCCAAGGCTGAAAAACTATGATCTGAGAGAGCCAAAGAACCCGAGACTTGGAGGTCAGTAGGGGCAAAGGAAGATACTAAGGGAAGAGCCTATCTGGTGATGTAGCAAAGTCAAAGAAAGCTAACAGGCTGAGAAAGCGCGCGTGTAAATGGACAGGGAGAGGAACCGCGGAGGCTGCCTCTCTGCAGACAGAGGATGAGACTGACCGCGCAGGACGTTTCTCTCCCCTGCGCTCTTCCTTCACAACCCAACAACTTGTTCTTCGCTAAGATGCCTCCTGTTACGGAGCCATAATTACCACGTATTCATATGAATATATTCCTCTTCTCTGATATCATCTATACATTCAGCATGAATGAAGAAATAAATGAAAAAGAGAATACTTTCATGAATAAATAATGCTACATTCTAAAACAGAAATTTTTCACTTTTGTGAATATTTATTAAAGAAAAATGTTGCTAATATTAATGGCAAGTTTCTGTATCATATAGCTGTCTTATCATATGGCCGTCTTTTAGCAAAATGGAACTGTGTCTGATTCAAGTGGGTCTAACATTATTCTTATATTCAGAAGCAGTAGCAGTTGTCCCCTTAAAACTATATTTCTTTGGCAAGAAGCCAGGTTTCTGTTTACGTTGAGGCTCAGACCACACAGTAACTACACTGTTACTTGCAGACTGTCCTTGTTCTGCTGGGTGCTGTACTACCAAGACCATCCCAGACATTCAGTCAAAATGAAGACATCATCTATGAGGGAAGTAGGAAAAACAAATCTGCAGGGGATTTCATGTAAAATTTCAAAATGGTTCTTGGAACTCCAAGTAAAATTCAGTATTTTGGCAAAGAATTTTCAAGCCCCTGAACAGCAATACATGGCACAGAAAAGGGTTGTGCTTTATATATAGAAAACTATGGGAGCTTCAGGGCTCTCTGACTGTCTATCAGGCAACATTAAAATATACTATATTGCTTTACACATGAACTCTTAATATCCCATTGGAAAAAAAAAACTTCCATAATTCTAATTGTACTTATTGTCAACAATTTAATACCTAGTTCCTCTTAGTACTTAAGTGCCTAAACTGGACTGTAGGATTGTTAAGAAAATCATTATAGGGCGGCGCTGTGGGGTAGCGGGTAAAGCTGTTGCCTGCAGTGCCAGCATCCCATATGGGTGCCAGTTCGAGTTCCGGCTGCTCCACTTCTGATCCAGCTCTCTGCTATGGCCTGGGAAAGCAGTAGAAGATGGCCCAAGTCCTTGGGCCCCTGGATCCGTGTGGGAGATCTGGAAGAAGCTCTCCGCTCCTGGCTTCAGATGGGTGCAGCTCCGGCCGTTGTGGCCATCTGGGAGTAAACCAGTGGATGGAAGACTTCTCTCCCCCTCTGCCTCTCCTTCTCTCTCTGTGTAACTCTGACTTTCAAGAAAATAAATAAATCTTTTTTTTTTTTAAAGAAAATCATTATCATTTGAACTCTATCTTTAAACTTTTTATTTCTTTTAGTGTGATACTGCAATAACAAACATTATAGCTACTAACTGAATATTTGTTGATTTACTAGTATTTAAGTCTTTTAGAGATATAAGATATTAATCAACAAATTAATGAAGACAGAATAAAGAAATTACAAAAAAAAAAAAACAAGGGAAAAATAGTACAAAAGACAAAGGGTATAGTAAATTGAAAAGTTAACGAAATCTTCATGAAGAAAGCTGTTCATCAATATTTCAGGAGGAAAACATGAATTAATGAGGAATAAAGGTAAGGGACACAGCCCATTAAGAAAAGCAAGACTACCCTAAGTTCTGTCGTTATTCAAGTCAAGAGTAGAAGACACAGGTTTAAGGTTTGATGAATATCATCATTCTTTCCTGATTTCACCCTTCACACACTTGGTGATTTGAACAAATAAGCAGTAAGTTCTTGCATAGATTTAAAAATAGTTACCTTGTCATCTATGAGGGCATAAATTATTTTAACACGTTCTATTCAGCCACTGACCCAAAACATTTTACTAACAAGCAGACTGAGGAAGAGAGAAAATGGTTATGCAGTCTTCCCAGACAGAATCTGATCCTACATTTATCTGATCCCAAGTTTTCTTTTTGGCTGTTCTATCATTCCTACTCAAAGGTTTGGAGAAGTAAGAAAAAATGGAACTGGCTGACTCTCTGGGAATGAGTTAGATACATTAAGGACATGGAGGTTTCCCTCTTAAATCACTTTTTCGGTCAGGTACCCTGCTGAAAATAAGAAATGAACGATAGAACCAACACAAATTAATCCACAGCAAGACTCTTATCAGGGGGTCAGCACTGTGGCACAGTGGGTTAAAGCTCCGGCCTGCAGTGTCGACATCTCATACAGGCGCTGGTTCAAGTCCTGGCTGCTCCATTAATGATCCTGCTTCTTGCTAATGCATCTGGGAAGGCATCAGAGGGTGGCCCAAGTCCTGGGCCCCTGCACCCATGTGGGAGACCTGAAAGAAGCTTTTGGCTTTTGGCTTCTGGCCTCGGATCGGCCCAGCTCTGGTCATTGCGGCCATTTGGGGAATGAACCAGCAGATGGAAGACTTTTCTCTCTCCCTCTGTCTCTATCTCTCTCTGTAACTCTTTCAAATAAATAAAATAAGTCTTTTTTTTTAAAAAAAAGACTCATAAAAATATGTTTAAATTCTAGATACCAGTTACTAGTTGGATCATATTTTAGTTATAAGAGCATTTTTATTAAATGTATTATAAGTTTACTTACTTCATAACTTCCTCGAACTTGAGAATTTTCTTTTGGGCATCTTCTTTTTCTTTATCAAGTTCACTCTGTAAGTCATGAACCTGCCATGACAAAGACATGCAAAATTTACTGGAACACAAGTACAGTTTACTCAAATGATAACTATAATTAAACAATAATCTCCAAATTTTAATATAAAATTAGGTCTAAATATCTCAAAATGGAAATTTGGTCCACCGTAATCATTTACCATAGAAAGATTTCAATACTTTACTCCCAACCCTTCTCTTCAAAGTTAATAATCGCTTCAACCTTTCTGCATGAGAATTCTCTTAAAACTGATATCTAAAGAACTCAAAAAAGGAGAAGTCAATTTCAGATTTATTAAAATTACATTTTAGCCAAAAGAAACGAGTCTCACAGGATCCAAGAGAATACCACAGTGTGTCGACATTCCCCCAACACCTAAGTAAGGGTTATGATGATGTAGCCTGCTGTATCTCGTTCACTGCTTGGGATGATTTCTATAACCATCTACAGAGTTTGGGAGGAGATCCCTCCAGCATGACTCTTCCCCAAATGGAGCATCCTTTGAATAACCAGGATCTTAAAATATGAAAGGAACTTTTTAAAAAAATTATTTATTTGAAAGTCAGAGTTACACAAAGAGAGAAGGAGAGACAGAGAGTAAGGTCATCTATCCGCTGGTTCACTCTCCAATTTGCTGCAATGGCCGGAGCTGCAGTGGTCCAAAGCCAGGAGCCAAGATCCAGAAACCTCTTCAGGGTCTCCCACGTGGGTTCAGGGGCCCAAGCAGTTGGGTCATCTTCCTCTGCATTCCCAGGCCATGGCAAAGAGCTGGATCAGAAGTGGAGCAACCAGGACTCGAACTGGCGCCCATGTGGGATGCCGGCACTGCAGGCGGCAGCTTTACCTGCTCAGCACAACACCAGCCCCTGAAAGAAATTTTGATACAGCTAGATGGAGAGGGAGGAGGAATGCAGTGGCCAATGTTTCACAAACCTGGCAACCGCTAGTGCAGGGCTTAGCTGGTAGGTAAGAAAGCCCAAGTCCCTAAACGGGGTAGGAACACCCACTACAGACCTAGTAGCAACCATGTGGAGGCTGAAAGCAAAGCCAGTGGGCAGTGGGGATGAGAGAGGAATGACAAGCGCAGTAACACGCTATGATAAACCTGAGTCAGGCCATGCCCAACACCCTCTAATTACATAGCGCTGCGGTGTGGACAGGGACTCACTTAATTCAAACCCTGTATTCTCTGATTTCTTTTACACTTCTCTTGTACTCTTCTACTCTGGTGTTCTAGTATAATTAATTGATTGATTAAATCAAATGCTTGTAAACAGAAGGGAAAGAACAAATTTTTCATGATGATATCAAAAGAGTACTGATGGCTGCTAAGATGGCACCAACTAAAGTGAGAAAAAAATGACAAGCAAAGAGAAAATGTTGGGGGACAGGATGGGTGATCAGAGAATTAGGAGATGGGACTTCTCTACCCTATATTTTAAATGATAAACTTAGACATTTTCATAAAAGGGGGCCAGGGTTGTGGTGCAGCAGGAAAGCCTCCTGACAGTATCACTGGTTCAAATCCTAGCCACTCCACTTCTGATCCAACTCCATGCTGATGTGCCTGGGAAAGCAGTGGAGGATGGCCCAAGTGCTGGGCCCCTGCCATCCACATTGGAGACCTGGATGGAGTTCCAGGCTCCTGGCTTCGGCCTGGCCCAGCCCTGGCCATTGAGGACACAGAACCAGTGGATAAATGATACCTCTCTGTCTCTCCTTCTCTCTCTGGAACTCTGCCTTTCAAATAAATCAATAAACCTTTTTTTTTTTTTTAAACAAAAACAAAAAACAGAATGTTTCATAAAGAATATTTTTTCTTACCAGGAAGAGAAAGAACAATTTGCCTTGCAAATTTTTACCATTACATTTACCTTACATGAGAAAAAAAGAAAAGTGTGTTCAAAATTTTACCAGGCTCAAGATATGCTTATTGTCTTATTATTTTAGATCCCTAATGTGTTCCAGATTAAGCATGTTACTTGGAGGATAAACATTACTGATGTAACTAAAGCACCATTCTTATTTTATTTTTTGAATTTTATTTAAATTTATTTATATTCATTTTATCTGAAAGAGAGAGAGAGAGAGAGAGCGATCAATCTTCCATCTGCTGGATCACTCCCAAAATGACAACAACAGCCAGGGCTAGCCAAAGCCAAAGCCAGGAGCTAAGGACTCCATCCAGGTCTTGCACGGGGGTGGCAGGAACCCAAGTACTTAAGCCTACATCTGCTGCCTACTGGGTGCCTTAAGCAGGAAGATGAAGCGTGTGATTTTTATCCTTCTTTCAGTTAATGTGGGGTGTATACTGAATATTCATTGTATTACACAGATAAAACCATTTGATTATGGTGTCGTGGTCCTTTTAATATGCTGTTGAATTCAGTTTAGAATTTTGTCAAGGATTTTTGTATTCATGTTCATCAGCATATTAGCCTGTAGTTTTTCTTCTCTGTCCTTGCAGAAGTTTTAAATTTCAAAAACAATGCTATAAAGATTTCACAATTAATTTTAACCTATATTTCTCTAATATTCTACAAGTAAAAAAATCAACTTCTATGTCCTATTTCAAAATAATAACTTAGTTCATATTTACTTCTCTGTCTCCAAGATATTTTCATTTCTTTTACATAAATTGGAAATGCTTATCCAAGTGGTAGCTTTAACTTGTTCTTTATAACTTTGCATACTGTCTCTCTCAAGAATATCTCCTGACATTCACAGCGTTTTAGATCATGTACATAATATTAAAATTTACCTCTATTTTACTTAATTTTCATATTCACCACTATTCTTTTTTCATTCTTGTTTTTTATTCTGTGCTAATTTGATTTTTCGCTTATCCTTGTGTTGATTAAAGTACTTCATATAGGGGCCAGTACTGTGGCATAGCAGGCAAAACCACCACCTGCAGTGAAGGCATCCTATATGGGCACTGGTTTGAGTTTCAGCTGCTCTACTTCGGATCCAGCTCTCTGCTTTGGCCTGGAAATGCAGTAGAAGATGGCCCAAGTCCTTGGGCCCCTGCACCCAGGTGGGGGACCCAGAAGAAGCTCCTGGCTCCTGGTTTTTGGCTTCAGATAGGCCCAGCTCCAGCCACTGCAGATATCTGGGGAGTGAACCAGCAGATGCAGCATCTTTCTCTCTGACTCTCTGCCTATGCATCACTCTAACTCTGCCTTTAAAATAAATAAAGAAATCCTTTTTTTAGAAGAGTTTTATATACTAATTTAATTTTCAAAACTACTGTCTTAGTGATGCATTTATCTTCTGCAGCTGTGATACTCAACAACGCCACTCTGTTGCCCTCACACATGAAGGAAAATGTTGAGTGGAAGATTCTTAGGTCACAACATTTTGGCCTAGAAACACAGCCTATGTCACACTATTGTTTCTAGACATTCAGATTTACAACTAAGAAAACTGAAGTCACCTAGGTTTTGCTCTTCCTTCTCCCTAGTCTGGACACTCACTGCACTGCAATTCAAATTTCCTTTTATCTTTAGTGATTTTTTATCTGATAAAATGTAACTCTTATAAATCTGTATATGTACGCCTTCTGAAAAGTTCACTCATAGCTTTATTTTTGTGTTAATTTATTCTAAGCCCTCCTTCAGAAACATCAACTGTTGAGTACTGGTTTTCTATTTTCTGTCGTAGTATCATCTTTCTCAACATTTTTGATTCTTGGGGCTGGCGTGGTGGTAACTGGGTTAATCCACCACAGGCTTTCCCACATCAGAGCATCCCTTCATGTCCCAGGTGCTCTATTTCCGATCCGGCTCCCTGCTAACACACCTGGGAAAGCAGCAGGAGACGACGCAAGTACTTGGGCCCCTGAAACTCATGCAGGAGACTCAAGCAGAATTCCTGGCTCCTGGCTCCTGGCTCTGGTCTGGCCTACTCCCCAGCCATTGCGGCCATTTGGGGAGCGAATCCGTGGTTAGAAGGTCTCTCCCTCTCTGTCTGCCTTTCAAATAAATAAAATAATTCTTTACAAAGTTTTTTTGATTCTTTGTCACTTTCCTTTGCAGCCTGTAAAATAACTATGTTTTTCCTCAGATCACTTACTTCTTTACAACACCTGTTCTAACCCAGGCAGATCCAATGTGGGTTTAAATCCACTATTGTGCTTCTAGTTGCCTTACGATCCTCCTCCTGAACTGCCTCTCTCTCTCTTTCTCTCTCTCTCTCTCTCTCTCACACACACACACACACACACACACACACACTCTATACCTCTTTCTATATTGCGCTTTTCAAATAAATGTCTTTAAAAAAAAGGAAAAAGAAATGGCTCCTGAATTGCTATTATTCCTAGTTTTTGTTATTTTTTTAAAAATTTTATTTGAAAAGCAGAGAGATGGACAGAGAGAGATCTTCCATGAGCTGGTTTACTCCTCCAAATGCCCACCAAAACCAGGGCTGGGTCAGGCTTAAGGCTGGAAGGAGAAACTCTACCTGGGTCTTCCACGTGGTGGCAGGAACCCACCTACCTGAGTCATCCTCTGCTGCCTTCCAGGGTGTACATTAGCAGACAATGGGATTAGAAGCAGAGGAACCCCAAACTAGGCCCTCTCAAACGGAATTAAGGTGTCCCAAGTGGCGACCTCAGCACGGCACCAAATGCCGGTCCTCTTCTAAGTGTTTTTTATCACTCCTTATTCAATCTAACCTCTGTCACATCTCAGCTGCTACTTCTTGAGGATGGTCAGCGTGCCAACTGAAGCACCTTGAGTTAATTTACTGCTTCCAAAACTGTCAGAACCATGCCTATGTGAGAACTAAACTACCTGTGTGGCAGAACAAGGGACTTCCCTCCGAGTTCCACATGTACTTGTCAACACACACATTTTTGAGCTGGGGGTTCCTTAGAATCTAGAAGCTGCTTCCCATTTATTTTTATATCCTGAGCACCCAGCACAACCTGACCTATACTACAATAGTCAAGAAACGCTGTTCTTGGTTTGTTTTTTCTTAACTGAGTACATTTTTATTGTATGCATAG